TGCTTTATCTCGATTAATTGCGAATCAGAAGCAGGAAAGTGAAGATTCTATTATCGCAACGATATCGTTGGAAAATGGTATTCACCATATACTGCAAGTTGCCATAAAAGCAACACCATTATCCTCTGAAGGTATTAGACGCTATACTCAAGAAGATGATGAATTGAAGCAGATTATTAGTTACCTCGAACATGGTTGGCCTGTCCATACAGACGACAAAAATATTGAACAGTATTCCCACCGTCGGAATTCCCCATCACTTGTGGATGGATGCTTGATGTTTGGAAATCGAGTAATTGTACCCACAAATTTACGCCATAAGGTGATGTCACAACTGCAGGCCGCACACCTGGGGGTAGCAAGGATGAAGGCACTTGCACGTGGATATGTATATTGGCCGAATATTGAAGCTCAGATCAAAGAGTATGTTGAGACATGTTCTGCGTGTGCAAAAGCTATCAAAGCCCCTCGTAAGACAGAAATGCAGAGTTGGGGGACACCAACAAATCCATGGTCAAGAGTACACGTAGATTTCGCCGGTCCCATAAACGGGAAACAGTACTTAGTGATGGTTGATGCTTTCTCAAAATGGCCAGAGATCCACTACGTTAAATCTCTTTCGACAAAAGCCACTATCGAAAAACTGAGACAAGTATTCAGCTGTTTTGGGTGTCCAGACGTATTGGTGTCTGATAATGGGCCACAGTTCACCTCCGCTGAATTCTCGAAGTTCTGCATCGCAAATGCAGTTAGGCATATAAAGACACCCCCGTACCATCCGCAGTCCAACGGTCTAGTAGAGAGGTTCGTAGATACGTTTAAAAGAGCACTACTTAAAGCTGAGGGAGAAGGGGAAATAAAAGAGATGATTCAAAGATTTCTACAAACCTACCGAGTAACATCAAACCCAGCAACAAATAATCAAGAAAGCCCAGCAGAAGCAATTTTTGGGAGAAAGATTAGAATACCTATGGAGCAAACGAAACCAAAGCTTAGAGCCAACCTCCGAAAGAACAAACGAATGGAACAGCAATTCAACAAGCGGCACAGTGCATAGCCCAGAAGGTTTAAGGTGGGACAAGCGGTAATGGCAAGAGATTTCACGGGAGTAAAGCCAACTTGGAAGTTTGGCATAATAATACGAAAAAAAGGGAAAGTTATCTACGAAGTAAAAGTTGGACAAAAGATATGGGTACGGCATGCAAACCAGATACAGCCAACCAGACAAGAACGAGAGACAGAAAATGCTACAAAGTCGAATATACCAATAAATATATTAACTGAGTCGAATAATGGAATTAAAAATGATCCGAATAATAACGAGACGTGTGAAACACTCCCAAGGAGGTCGCAGCGCATCAGACGAAAACCCAATCGAATAAAAATAAATCTTAAGGATCATTACTATCTCTAATGCTTCAAAAAAAGGGGAGGTGTTATATCCGGTGAAGATTAAACTACAGGTAAATTCCAAGGAATATTCATGGACTAATATTCTATAAATATTCTTATTGTATAACTACTCAACAATTACACTATGGATATTTATATTCCTTTTATGATAAGCTTTGTTTTGACCTATAATTTATTGTTGTACGATTTACGGTTCTTAAGTTATGTTCAGTTTATTAACTACTGCCTCCCACATTCACAGCCACTTCTTGGGCTTATTTGTGTACAAATATTATTTCCTATTTTGTGGTACGTTGCGGTCTGTGTGATTGATATATAAACCAAGTATGCATGAAATAAACGATTCGATTCATATTCGGAAGCTGGTATTGTGTTCTGTACTCAAGTGGAAGGGCTCGTAGGACATAGGACCAATAAGGACGCTAAACTGCCCACACCGGTTGAACGTCATTGGTTGGCCTAGTGTGAGGATTCGTATAAGTCGTATTCGGATTGGTAGATAAATCGTGTGATAGAAAAACCAGACGTCCAGGTCGTAACAGTGTGCTGTAGGGATTATCCCGCTCCATGCGTCTCGGATTCACTCATGTCCAGGTTCTAGGGGACTTCAATCTCCCTAGAGTCAACTTCGCGGAATATACGTATATTGGAAGTGAAAACTCAACTGATGTTCGGTTCTTCAACCTCATTGAGGATCTGGGATTATTCGAAAACGTGATGTCGGAAACTCGTTGGAGAAACAGTCGGATACCGTCGCGCTTAGACTTGGTATTTACAAACGAAGAATTTCTAGTTGACAACTTCCCAGTCCTGGCTCCCCTGAGGAAAGCGATCACGCCGTTATTGCCTTCACTTTTGTCAGCAAAACTAAGATGAGATATCCCACCACCAACATGCGCTGGAATTTCAAATGGTTGAATGTGTCAACCCTACAGAACTATCTACATCAGGTAGATTGGAATGTTCACCCTCAACTTGATGTGAATGTGTAGTGGCATTGGACAATAGTCACATAATCCTTAAAGCTGTGAACACGAGACTACTCAGAAAATAGATATTCAATATTTAACTCGGGGAAATACCTAACAATGGAGAAGGAGCGGAGAATGAATTGAATGGACTGGAGTTGATCGAGTGGCATGGATCGGCCATGCAGGCGTGGTCTCTGCTGAATGTTACCTTATATCTTCTATTCATATTAAATATATTGTTCTTTCTCTAGCCTAACCTTGTTCTACATCATGTATTGGTAATTGATACGATACAGTGAGTTAGTGTAGTCGATGGTGTGACTTCCACGTAAGATCTTATAGATTAGGCAGTTATATCATGACAAATCTACAAAGTTAGGATTAGGTCTATTATTAGAGCAGTACTAATATCATAGTAGACCATAGTTCTACAAAAGCTCACTGTGATTTCTCATTGCACACGCTCTTACGTGCAACAAAGCAGTTGGTTCCTCAAACGGTCCCCAAAAGCTACAAGCAACATACAATCATCAAGAACTTCACATTTCGTTTCCTAAGCCGAAAAAGGCTCTGCTGTGCAGAACACAAACGAACTGACAATAACGTCGCACACAAGCAATACAAACATATAAGGAACATATGCACGAAGGTTATAAGAGATGACAGGCTTCAGTACCAGACAAAGCTAATGGACAAATTTGTCTCTAATCCTAAAGGCTTATTCCGTTATGCAGCCTCTCTTCGTCAAGCCAAAACTGGAGTTTCTCAACTGCTAGGTCTTAACGCCACGACCAACGGCGACGCCGCTAATCTTCTGGCTTAACATTACTCTCAGACATTTCAACTAACCGACATCAACTTTACTGATGACAGTTTCATCTGCAATTCCATAGGACTTTCCGAAGTGAACCTAAGCGCTGAATTGGTGTTCCGGAAATTGCAGCACTCGAGAGTTGACACTTCTCCTGGCCCGGATATGGTCCATTCTGCCATACTGAGGGAAGCAGCCTCAGTCCTGGCAACGCTGCTTGGCATGATCTTCTCACTCTCGCTAAGCTGAGGAAAACTACCGGAAAATTGGAAGGTGGCTCACATCACACCAATTTTCAAAGGAGGTCGAGGCAATGAACCTTCAAGTTATCGGCCGGTGGCTCTTCTCTCTATACCTACAAAAATTATGGAGTCCCTGATATGCGATGGTATACATGACTATTTACTATCCTTGAATTTCTTCTCACCCCAACAGTATGGTTTCAGGAAGGGTCACTCTTGTATAACCAACTTGCTGACTGCAGTGGACAGATGGACAAGCATCCTTGATGACAAGGGGATGGCCATTACCATTTACCCTGATTTCTCAAAGGCTTTTGATAGGGTCAACCATATATGTCTTATCAATAAGTTGAAACGATTGGCTGTCAGATTACTTCTAATCGATTGGCTCACTTCATACCTGAAAAATCGACATTTTAAGGTCAGGGTTAATTTCACTTTTTCTCAGACTGCGGAATGTTCTAGGGAAGTCCCCAAGGGCTCAGTACTAGGACCCCTTCTCTTCTTAATTTGCAATAATGATCTTTCACAACAAGTATCGTTGGACTTACTGCTTTTTGCTGATGACATGAAACTTTGGAAAGATATACGCAAGCGTGAGGATATACTAGCACTTTAGGAGGATCTGACTCGACTTTAAAGTTGGGTAGACGATAACGGACTTACACTTAACACTTCAATATATAAAGTAGTCCATCTGCGACATGTTGTAGACTACAGTTGCAAATTAAGGAACTCCTCTCTGGTAGTGCCCCGAGTCGAAAAAGATTTAGTAGTCCTGACATCCTACGATTTAAAGTCTTACGCTGTGACAAAAATGCTTTTCGAGCGAACTTTGCAGTGGTTACATTGAAGCGCCTTTTCGGCCAGTTTGGCGGAAGAACGTTCCGCATAATCTTTAACAGTTCCATTAGTCTACATTTAGAGCACGGATACATAGTGTTTCCTCCCTCACTACAAAAGGATAAGGACACTCTGGAGCGTGTCCAACGGCGAGCCACGAAATCAGTTCGGGGACACAGATTCAAACCCTATGAAGAGCATCTCCAATCACTTGATCTTAACCTATTAAAGTATAGGAATCTTAGAGGTGAACTTCTATTAGCTTACAGTATCCTTAACACTTCTAAATATCCCCTTAAACACCTAATTAAGTTTAGCTCCAACACAAACCCGAGAGGTAACATCCAGAAACTAGAGACATAGCACAGCAGAACGGACTTTAGACACAACTCCTACCCCTTAAGAGTTGTAAGGTGCTGCGGGCTGAGGTAATCCAAGCGACTTCCCATGAGTCCTTTAAGAGGCAACGTGACCTAAGCATAACATCTCATTATGATTTACCAATTCCTTTTTTTCCTCTATTATCGTTAATATACCTAGATTCCTGCCTGGAGGTATTGATGATCCACTGCTACTAGATACAGAAGCCCGTTGAGCAAAAGCTTCTTCTATTCCGTCCACGACCATTTGAATGACAACATGTAATGGATTGGGCTTAAAAAATCTTTTTTAGAACAGACACTATGTCTCAAAATTTTAGTGATTTTAGAACATATTAGACCTCAGTTGTCATATTGTAGACTATGGTTTGCCAGGACTAGAAACGTATATGTTTCATTTTCCTTAAACCAACTTTCTTTTGTCGACGTCAGCATTTTCAAAACTTTGCGTTACAGACGAAGATGGATTGTGTCCTTGCACCACTATTTGCAATAGTTGAGTGCCCTAGACTAAAAATAAAGAAACCTAGTTTCATAACATGGCCGTCTCCAATGGTTTTCTTTTCCATTATCATCCTTAGTTACTTTTTAGTCACAGGTGGTAAGATCTGATTTGTACTTGTGTTCTCATATTTATGATTGTTAAGGGGTTTTTTTACTTTTATTGGGGTCACATTTATTGCTTCAAGTGCTAGTGAAGTTCTTATTGCGTGGCAGCTGTTATTTACAGGGTATTTGACAGTTTTATTAGCACCCCGATGTTTACCGGTATTCTTCAAGATACTTTCAGTTTCAGTTTGGGAAGGACAGGAGGCTCGATGGCCTATGTTAGTCCTGGCAATGGTGGTCTCTCAGTTGATCCAACTTTCTTTTGAAAGAGTCGACGGATGGAGCCTCAACCACGTGCTGAGGTAGCGAATTCCACTCGTTGATGATTCGATGGGAAAGTCGATAGTCAGCTGACAAGTAAATTGTTCTCGGCTTATGAACTTTTTTGGAGTGTCCTCGTAAATTCTCTGTTTTGGAAGACAAGAAAAATGAGGGTATGTCAGGTGCAAATTTGGCACTAAGCAATTTGAAAACTGTAATCAAGTCGCCTCTAGTTCTGCGATATGACAACGGGAAAAGGTTCAGCTTGGACAGTCGAGATTCATACGGAAGCTTCTGTATTCCGGGAATCCGCTTAGTCGCCGTTCTCTGAACCTTTTCCAGAAGCTCACTGTCTTTTTTAAGCAGGGGCTAGCCGCTTGTATGCAATACTCAAGTTTAGGACGAACGAACACTGTATGCAAAGTCAAAAACGTTTTGGCGTCGACATGACTTAAAGCTCTACGTATTGACCATAAGGTTCTAAAACCTTTGGCGGCTATTGCACGGCAGTGTGCAGTAATCTTTAAGTCTTGGCTGACGATAACTCCTAAGTCATTATATGTCTGGTCGACAGGTAGCTCAGTGTTATTCATCGTGTATGTATCTGTGCCTTGATGACCGATATGCATCACAACACACTTGGAAGTATTTATCGGCAACTCCCATGTTTGAGACCATTCAGATAACTTCTTCAGGTCATTTTAAAGTTCTAAGCTATCACTCTTACATCGTATCGTTCTCCATATCTTGACATCGTCAGCATATAGCAAGACCGATGATGATAGGAGACAAGGAAGGCCATTTACATACAAGAGGAATAGCACTGGCCCCAAAACTGTACCCTGGGGCACTCCACTAAGCACAGTTTTCCAGCTAGATAACTTTGAGTTCACCCTTATACTTTGTTGACGCCCAACTAAGAAGTCTTTTATCCACATCAATAAATTGCCTCCAATCCCGACTTTTCTTAACTTATATAACAACCAGTTGTGCGGAACTTTGTCAAAAGCTTTACTGAAATCAATGAAGGCGACGTCTACAGGTAGCTTTTGGTCATTAATAGCGCACCAGCTTTCTTAAGCCACTAATAAGTTAGTGAGACAAGAATAACCTATTCTGAAGCCGTGCTGCTTCTCCGAGAGGATCCGGTTTTTATCGAGATACTTAAACAGCTCCTTCCGAATAATCTTTTCTAAGATTTTAACGACCACACTAGTTAGGCTAACGGAGCGGTAGTTCTCAGGTTTGTGTTTCGTACCTGTTTTGAAGACAGGACTTACTATGGCGTTTTTCCAGTCTTTTGGTAAACGACCCTGCGTAACGGATAGGTTAAAGCATGTACTTAAAGGGCTTGCAACGAAGTTAGATAATTCCTTCAGTAGCCTAGGATGTAATTCATCGGGCCCCGTGGATTTATTTAGCAGACCAAAGACATCGAGTTCTTTAATGGTCACGCTATCCAGTGTATGTATGGGGGGATCTGTATACGCTGACGGGAAGGGCGCTTCTATGGTATATACGTTGCTAAAGTAGTTCGAGAACACTTGAGCCTTACCAAAGTCGTCTTCCACTAACGATGAAGCAGTACTGTCTCCCCGATATAAGATATGGATAAAAACTGTATAATGCACTTGTATAATATGAAATCATTTGATTCTTTATGAAACATTCCAACTGCCAAAATGAAGTATTGCATATTCAATTCATTGTAGTATTTAACCTAATTCAAATGTACTACTAGTACTTACCATGGATGTGGTTCATAACTTGAGACGTCCTTTACAGGGTACTTCGGGCGCATTGGATTATCAATAATCACTAAATTGTTGAGGTCTGTTTTTACATTTGAAGATATCGCCTTTGATAGCTACAGCTCACGTAAAATACCCTAACGGTCATTCAAGGTTCCTGTGCACTCTGTAAGACGGCGGTTGATCTTCAACCATATTCCATGTGTGAGCTGCAGTTCTTTTTACGAAGCCAAGTAGCATTATCTACACCACAAAAATGTGGCGATCCGGGTCATGGAGTATGCTGTAAAGTTATTATTGTGACTGCTATTCTCTTTCCGTACCCTTGGTTTAAAATGCATGATTTTACAGAGGGTTATCTGTCGCAAATTCCAATCAGGCAAGTGACTTTCACAAGGTCTTTTCCCAACCAAAACTAAGGCGAAAGTTAGCTTGTAGATGTGGGTTAGTGCCAGACGACTTCTGTGCATCCCGTTCCCCTAGAAGCTATCTATATTCACAGGTTTTAACACCAACGGATTGAAACTTCATTTCAACCAGAGATTCGACTACCAAAAGGCGACTAAGCACTTGTTAGTCGTACGAATATCCCTTCCCGAGATGTGTCGCTTCTTAATGTATACCTTTCGTATTATGTGACGAAGAAGGTACAAATGTTGGCTTATTAGTAAGTGTAAACAACTCTCAAGTATAAGTTCTAATGCCCGACAAATGACTTTTCTCCGCAAAGTGTAGACCACCCCCGGAAATAACTAGCAAAGTGATCTAACAAATATATAGTTAGTTTCTGCCCATTTTTTTATATCACGATATTTTTATGCCTTAATTTCATACTGTGAAATGCAAGCATTAAAGTTAAAAGTCGGTTAAGAACTGGTTGATCGTACATTGTTGTGCTTATGTGCATGGTTATTTCGCCATATAGGGGTCATTTACGATATGATCGTTGGACCGCCAAGCATGGGGACGGAAACCGACTCCAGGGGCAATCAAAAACCGGTAAGTCATATTCAACATTTTTTTAATGAGACTTAGGTAGCTATCATGGTTTGGCGCCTAAACAGTCAATACATACTCGAAGGACTTGCAGCCAGTTTTATGTTTGTTATGGGGAGCTTCGGATTTATCGTAATGGATAAAGTCAATGAGGCCAAGGTCACGAAGTTAAACCGTATATTACTGATGGCACTAGGAATCGGATGCATCTTAGTATCGTTGCTTACCTTACGGATTTTTATCAGTACTAAATTACCGTAAGTTACAATATTTAATCTAATCTTGCCTCTTAGGTCCTACATGCGGTGATTTCCTAACAATTATCAATAACTTGAAGACCGTTTCGTGCCAAATCAAGTCGCTAACTTCCGTGTAATCTAGTTTCTGAAGTCACATGGTTTTTTTATTATAGAACTTCTTGTATTTCTTCATAAGTTATAACAAAATTTCACATATATATGTATTATCTCAAAAATCGTCCGGGCAATTTAGAATGTAAGGCCTCCTTCCAGTCGCCACCGTTTGCCATGTATGCTAACATTATATCGACGACATGATTTATCGCTAACACAGGGTTAGATATTTTTCCAGATGTAAACTCTTCAATTGGGAGTCGCACGGCACGGTAACCCTGATTCTCAGCTTGTTGTCGGCTTCGTCCCTAGAAAGAATAAAAGTTAACGTATAGTGAGTTGCAAAATAAGAATGAGACCTGATTACAATTATTATTAGTAGTATAACAATAGACGCAACCTGGAAAATACTGAAATGAATTCGACTACAATTCATATTTGTTCTAAACAACTTTTCTTGCGTGCAGTATTTATCCGTTTGAATAACAGCGTCGAAATATGAACGATCAATATCCATTTCAGTAGAAACAATAGGTGCAGTTTATACTTGCGACATTTGAAAACCAAATCTCATACCAACTGTCTATCACTTTATTGATAGAAAATGAATACATTGAGTCCCTAGCGAAGTCTTTCGGAGCATAGTAGTTATTGTGATTGACCGTAGGATAATAAGTTGAGGTAGGTACAAATCAGAAACCAAGACTAACAGTCATTCGGGATCAGGAAAATTACAATAAGAAGTAATGACGGTCTAACATTTATAAGAAAGACGATCTAGGAGATGTCGGTGGTTAACAAAAATACTAATAGGACAAGTATATCAATATTAAACTGTCAGAATGAAAAAAGCTATTAGTGTCAAATATTTTATATATGTACATATACACTGCTAATCTACATCGCGGAGTAGCCATGTTTTCTGATATTTAACACGGGTGCTAACAGTCGCTGATTGTATATGAGTAGATCCAGCTACTTGACCTCTCATCTACTTTCGTCACCACCGTTGTCTAAAAAAGCAAAACCTGCTACAATTTCGCTTTTCAATATTTTGAAAGAAAGCAATTGAGGTTCAGGAATTTGAAGTCGTCTGAATCTGTCACAGTTTGTAGGGCACATTGACTTCTTTTTGGTAGCCACTTATTTTTTAGCGAGTCAATTATGGTTTTAGCCTACCGTTAAATTTTGGAACAGAAGAAACCAACGCCTTACGAAGGTTTATGAATATTTTCCCTAATAAAATAACCACAAGTGCTAATCAGAACTGTATATTCTTTCTAACCTTTATAGGGGTGTAAGGAGAATGGGTGAATAAACATAATAATCACACAGTCATTGCATTGTAGGTCAAATTAAGCATCAAACTAGGAGTGCATATGAAAAGTCAGTGACTCGATAAATAGCAACAGTAGATGTTTCAAACAACAAAACTAAACACTGTTATCCAAATCTTAAACACTTTCTTATTTTATGTTTAGTTTTTTCTTCTAACTCGTCTATTTACTTCTGTACATTGGGCTAACTGAGCGAACAGTTGATGGTAGTATATCTTACGATTCGATTTGGATCTGCTTACTACAAAAAATTATAACTACTGTTAGCAAGTCTATAAGTTTTCTACTATACAGCATTACCTTTAATATATGCTCATCCACAAGACATCCTAGGACGTACGCACAATTTTCCGATATAGATATCAATGGTTCCTTTGCGTCCGGACTGAGGTACACGATTTCTATATTTTCTGGCGTGATGCTTGATGGTGTTTCAGAGTACAATCCAATCTATGAGATAGTTAAATAGCACTTTGTAATAAAGCGAAATAATACGAAAACTGTACATCCGGATATGAATCGTTTCTGTCACGAAGATAGAAGTGCACACGTACATACGACCATTTACCAGGCTAGTGAGATAGTGGAGTTACATCATTGGTAAACAACAGCTGATCGCGCACTACAAATAGGATTATGTTCTATATTATATTTTATGCAAATGCTGTTGTTTCAGTGGTTTCTGAAACAACGATGGAGCATAGGGTTGATGGGTAAACAGACATAAACTTCAAAACATCAATTATGAAATTCTAGACCATCTATAGCATGCTTAATAGCGTATTACGAAGCTGTGGTTCACTACCTCAACTAGTCGGGTTGATACACCCCCTATCTGAGCAATAAGGCAGTAGTACCACTAACCCTCTCAGGATTCATCGCACAACAGTTAAATTCAGCGAAATGTAAAATCCATGGTGTGTATGGAGAGACTAGGTCTAGACATATTCACGATTTACTCGTAGGTCCCTACCTACATGAATGTGTCATTATTATGCAATTGACGTTCTTGCGTACTTTGGTGTTGAAAATTCGACAAAATTTCGTGTCAGTTCCCGGACATTATTCCCCAACTGTAAGATGTTAGTAATGCTTAAATTCCTTGATGTTCGTAAGATAGCTGGTTTTGTGTCCCAAAATCTTACTTTCCCTTTATCAATAAACAGGCCCAATTTTATCCAGTAGTTTATAAGTAGTGGCCCTCGAGGGAATCAGCTATCGTTTAGCATTTTCAACAAAACCTTTTATAACGTATAACAATATAATATCGTCGCTGAACGATATTGGACCCTGAAGAACGTAACTAACGTTAGAAAATAGAGACACAAGCAACACATCAAAAGGCTGTGTATGAAATCTTAGCTACTGATCATCTAGTCAACACAAATCTTACGGGAGTTGTGTCAATTTTCAACATAAGAATTTTTAAAAAATCTAAATGACACTAGATCCAATCGACGCATTTTCAAGAATAAGCTTTTCCCAACACAAAGATTAAGAGGTGGAGAATACGAAAACTGTTACATTTACAAGACACTGACCTTGTACTTTAGGAATCCATCACATTTGGACTGGCAAGCATGGAACAAAGGTCCATGTTGTGAAAAATTCACAAGGTTGATGCTTAAGGGCTTCGTTGCTTTTTTGTTTGCGCCATAAAGACGACATAGTTGTTGAGCGAATTTATTACATTCCTACAAAGTGATAGTTTTCCGCGTCAACACGAACTTTAGGAGACATAAGAGCTTCATAAGAACAATCTATGTAGATCCTTATTCCTTCATACAGTGCGATCTGCAATCTGTTGGAGACCTCCTTTTTCAGGAACTTTTTGCTGTGATAACGGTTTAGTTCTATATCTTCCCTTATTTTATTGCGCGAAGCTATCTTCCTGCGAACTTTTTCCTGTTTTCGCCTTTCTTTTTTGCGTTGAAGTATTCGACGATATCTTTTTTGGCAAGAATCTATCGGGAACATGTTGCGATATATTTGGTAACTAACTTGACATCCCTTGATTTTTTTTAAACCCTAGAAAAATCAAAGCATTTGTCAGTCGAATAGACGAATAATATCAATGATGTGATGTAGGTTTTTAATCATAAAAGGACCTTGATTAAGAGGTATTTTAGTAAGAAAAGCGTCCAAATTTCAACCACCAGGTGGGTTATTACCTTACTTCACTTACATCAGTCTGACAAATTGAGCCCCAAGTGATGAGGCTGTATGTCAAATGCACTTGTTATATGAAACATATCTGCTTTAATTTTATAACGGAAAGGCTACTCGATTTATATTTAAGCAGTTGATTGAAATCCGTAATTAAGGATGTACTCCCCACCATTATATTGCAGAGTACCGCTTAATGTTGGTATGAGCATCTGTAAACAATGGCTGTTAAGACCGATCGCTCTAAGATGAGAACCCTCAGCAGTAGCATATTTCCACTTTGTTCACATTCAGACAGACTGGTTGTTCTATAAATTCCTTATTATGTGGAGTTATCAGTTATATCTGTGTTTCGGTTGTGGTCTATTTCTTGACTCCCTGTTAAAAGGAGCAGTCTAAGATTCGTTGTCATACAAGTCTAGGTTATGTAGCTTGATGAAGATGCTTTAGCAATAGCATTTATTATTCGATTATCCAAACAAACCTAAATTTTCAAATATTTCACTTAATAACATGATTGGGGCTGGTATCTGAAGTCAATTGTGTACCGCTAACCATGATGGATACCAACCGCCGTCATACGAACAAAAACGATATCACGTCTATGGAGAGTTTTTGGAACGAACTGTTAGACCTCATTCAGTAGTTGACTAAATTCGTGGGTACTCAATTAACATGATTGGTTCTTTCAGTCCCTTTTTTACCACATACATGTATGGTAATGAGATCCTAAAAGCATGACCATTTGCTTAACTTGCCGCTAGGACAGGTTGATATAAACCTAGTAATATTACTATCGATGGGTCAGTGAACTTAGGTCTGATCGCGGTCAAAGTTTGTTGTTTTACGATAATATTTACTGTTAACTATCCTACAACGATGTATTCGAGGTGCGGTTCTAACCCGCAACTATGCGAGCATTGATTAAACAACAAGTAGTTAATGATATCCCAATCTCCCAAGTTTGGGGAAACTTCCTAAGTCAAATGACCTTCACCAAGGTTAAAGGGGGAAATATTGGGGAAAATTTCGAGTTTCAGTGCCATTTCCCCTAAATTTCCTCGAAGTTTACTATAGCGGCTTCCCCGAAATTCGGAGTTCGGGATATATGAATAGTGGTGAGCTCGAGCTCACCAACATAACATAGATACTGAGGACCAAATATTACCAGAAAACTACATGCCATCATAGAGTTTTGCGTCTAGCCAGAAGGTACTTAGTGTACTAGGGGAACGTGGAAAGTAGAGTAATCCCCCAATCATTAATGACGGTTAGAAAAAAACACAAGAAAAAGAAGATCGAAGACCAATTATGTGCACACAGTACACTTACATTTATAAAAATTAGCAATAAAAACAACCAGAAATAACAGGCCTCAGATTATGACAATCTAGGTCGGAAACTGGGATCACAATTTATTCAGCTACACCGTCATCAGTTGTAAATTGCGCGAGATATATACCTGCACTCTTATTAGTTGTTTTGAGTGGTGGTTATATACATGTAAGCTCCTACATGCTCGTGGTCAGATCATTGCTAAGTGAGTCTTTCAAGTAAATTGATATTGTCGTAACTGTTCGTTTTACGCTAGTCAGCTTATTTGTTTCAATCAATCATAATTCTGTGAATGAACTCGATACTGTTGACTTAAAAGTTACTATTAATGAATTACCTCTTTTTTACTTCATTGATACCCGACACTTTGGTACTGATACATTATGGATATATATAATGAGAAATGAAACTTCACCTGACATCGGATCGCTCATGCCCTACGTATGGGTTAAGATCAACTGTTTTCCTACTAATCTGAAGATTGAGTGGAATAAACTCTTTACAAGGAAAAAATTACTAATTCATTAGCCCTTCTATATAGGAGGCAATGTGTTAGTCTTGACAACATTTCTGGCAGGAACCCATAAATAAAGTACCCGGACATTAATTGAAGTGGAAGATTACCGTAGGTATAAACCAACAGAAATATTACAACATGTAAGCATAGGACTATTTCTGTTCATGCACTGACAGGTTAGCTACCAATCACTGATCGTTTTCACTTTTCAACTGCGCTTACAAGTCCCAATGAGTTTTATAGTAAGCTATTTTCTCGAAATTTATTATTCTGTGCAGAAATATTCTTCAACGTATCACCAGAGTCAGCCTCGCAAAGTCGCTTACACGATGTGTAGTGGCATTGGACAATAGCCACACAATCCACAAAGCTGTGAACACGAGACTACTCAGAAAATAGATATTCAATATTTAACGCGGAGAAATACCTAAAAATGGAGAAGGCGCGAACAATGAATTGAATGGACTGGAGTTGATCGAGTGGCATGGCTCGGCCATGCAGGCGTGGTCTCTATTCATATTAAATATATTGTTCTTTCTCCAGCCTAACCTTCTTCCTCATCATGTATTGGTAATTGATACGATACAGTGAGTTGGTGTAGTCGATGGTGTGACTTCCACGTAAGATCTTATAGATTAGGCAGTTATATCATGACAAATCGACAAGTTTAGGATTAGGTCTATTATTAGAGCAGTACTAATATCATATTAGACCATAACCACCACAGATGTACGAGACTATGTACATCCGCGATAACTGCTTCATCTGTGGCTACTCATGCACAATACTTGCGTAAGCTTTTTCGTCCTGAAATTTAAAGACAACTATAAAGCATAGAACGCCACGTAGAGTGCAAGATCCGGAAAGCATAATGCCACATCACATTTTAATACCTCGTTTCACTAATCCTACCAGCATGCAGCGTTAAATGAGTCCCTAAAATCAATAGCTCTGTAACTTTTCAACATTTGGTTCTGATCGCATTAGTTTTACTTGATTCATCTAGCTGAAGGCACTCGTTGAAGCATCCTCACCTGATCACGAGTGGGTACTGTGTGATTCGCTTCTGCTACAACAGCTGGTCAGCTTAGATTAGTCACTTCTCGGTATATCGATATTCTATCAAACATACCATCGAACCACTTCGCTTCTGATTTCAATGCGTTGGCACGTTTCGACTATAAAACATATTACAAATAAGGTTCTGCCAAGCTCCGAACACTTGTGGCATCTTCAGTAGTGAACCCGACGTGATCTGGCATACCTATATGTAAATTGTGAGTCTGTTCTCTTCTGAAGCTTTGTTTATCAAATTTTACTTTTATTTTTACATTTTGTGATATTTTTTGGTATTTTTTGGATATCTTGTTTCCTCATTCTTTGCTGTACTTTATATTCATCATGACCGAACAAACTTCCAAATTATTTAAGACCAAAACTCTCACACCACCCTCATTTCACCTAATGCTATTCTGTTATAACCATATCGACGGCTGGTTCCGCTGCACAGAAGCTGGCTTTCACGAACATAGTGTGACCAATCCACGCGCAAAATTCCTCGCAGTAGTGAAGGCAATACCACGCGAATTCAGAAGGCACATCACGCCTAGTATGTTTACTGTTGATGTCACGGAATCGTGCGAAACTTTAAAAAGAGCTTCTCTTTGACACCTAGATTTAACCGGTCGGCAAGTGTTGGACTAGCTCCTCATTAACATCGATATATAACGTGGCTCAACAACAGATGTGGCATTATGAACGAGAGAGGTCATTGGTCAATGGGCCCTTGGCGAAAGCCTGCTTAGACAACATTTCTTGTCTGAACTTCCCCAACAGGTGCAGGAAGTTCTTGTCTCATTTAAAAACAACGCTATAGACAAGCCGGCCGCATCTGCCGACCGAAATACGGAGTTCACCAGAACTTCGAACACTAATGTTCATTCAGCTGACGAAAAGCCTCAAACGAAACAAAATGACGCTACAGAACTCTGTCAAACTCTGGAGTGTGACCTTAGTGTTCGTCACGACCGTGGACGATCTCAAACACCTCGAAGGAGTATTTCACGAAAATGATCTGTCTTTAGGTCAAGAGAGAAAGATGATCCTGATTGGTGCTGGCATCATAATCAGTGAAGAAAATGTTCTCGAAATTGTAGAAAACCCTGCGGTTCCCCGGGCCTCGAACCAACAGACATGAAAAGTGTTTCGGGAAACTTCCCAGATGGGATGCGCTAACAACAGCCATAACCAGTGGATATAGTCGTCTGTCATACATCACTGATGTGATTAAGAAAGTCCGCTACCTCGTCGACACTAACGCAGGGGTTAGTGTCCTTCCAGAAAATCCTAACGGTCGATTACACGACTTACAAGCAGCATATGGGAAACCAATTCCTACATACGTTAAGCGGTCTGTTTATCTTAACGTAGTCTTACGCGAACCCGTCTATCACGTGTGATCGAGTTTGTATTCGCTCTGTTGTATTTGAGGATCTTGCTATTTTTCATGTTTATGTTGAGGCCCACTGATGCACAGGCTGCTGCTACACTTGTTGTCTTCATATGCATTTGTTTGTGTGTACGGAATAGAAGGACCAGGTCATCTGCGAAGTCCGAGTCGTCTAGTCGCATCCAATCTACCGATTCAGTATATTCGATGATATGACAAATCAATAGTTTCGGTATTAGGCCTATTATTTTGGTAGCGGATATAAGTTCAGTCAACACTGATCCGTACCATAATTTTACATACTCCCAGCGAGATTCTTGACAACTGGTTGGTAACTCAAAATTCGCTGAAAAACATTTTCCTTGAACAGCTATGTTGTCGTAGGTATCTTGTTTAACATGAAGTCGTTGAACGATTCCCAATAAATTGGTTCTGCTAAATTATCCCGGCATTCAGTAGAAGACAATGATCTTCATAACGACCTATCCGAGAAAACCCTGAAACTTTGATTGAAAAAGATAAAAACTGGTGAGGAAGCTTTACTGACACATTGAATGTAGGAATTATCATGTCGTGACAAAACATAAATTACACTAACTTTGACATCCACGTGTGCGAGGTACCATCAGGCAGATAACAGAATAATTTTGTTGATGTGGTATGAATATAAGCGTCAGGGAGTGGACTAAACTATTGGCTCTCGTTTCGACCGTGTTTTCTACCGATTCAGAGTACCCTAAGCAGAAACATATAGATGTTCTGATCATCGCTAACGTAAATAATATACTATTGTTAAGAATGGAATGAAAGTTAAATTCAGCATCGACCGAAAAAAGTCGTATGTATCGAAGGAAGCCACGTTCATGTTGGGTCATAAATGAACAATCGAGCGGCACGATCCCTGCAACCAAAATGTAATCCCTGATAAACAACAATCGTGACAAAACTTCTATGATATGCGATAGCCTACCTAAAATGATTAGCTCTGAAATAACTTTGAGGTTGCCAGAAAACTTGAACGACTGCTAAGCATAGAGAATATTGTAAGCTCGTTGGAAAAGGTAAAAAATAGAAGACGAACTTTCCACCGTATATTTTAAAAGTCACTTTCACATACCGAATGGCTCCTTGACGTAGGAAAAGACGACTAGATGCTGTTTGATGTGCAGTGTCTGTGAGTAGCACGATCGTGGAGTCGGAACTTGCGTTTGGTCACGTTTTAAAATCATCGCTACCACACTGGAGGGAACTGAGGTATAGAGATAGATAAATCCAAAAAATAAATAGTACTGTACTTGTGAAACATTAACACTGCCCTCACTGATCCTCATAAACACACTCTTGTCAAGTGGTCTCAGTCACGCATCCGCCCTAAACCACATTTGAGTACTCCGAGCAACGCATCTTTGTTAATTACTAATCAGGTAAGATCACAAGCAGCTCGGCATGCTGTCCAAATTTCAAAACATTGGTGGTAAAATACAGGCTTTCAGAAGTGTGACTGAGAACGAAGAGTAAATTGAAGACGGTGTGTTGTTTAAATAGTAGCAATTGAACTTAGTTTAGTTTCCTCATGATGAAAGGTTCATAGTTAAGTCCAAAATGCACGAAGGTTAGCAAATTAAGATGAGCAGATGAAATGAAATTCATAGTATTGAAGAAATTGCAAACATTATTCCTGAAAATGTTCTAAGAATCTCCACAGATTAAACTTTATAAAATATGACAAAATATTGATTACTTTTTTAGTTTAATTTTAAAGATAATTAATAAAAGCATTTGTATGATGAGATATTATATCTCACTTTCAACCTACGGACACAGTTCATTTTTGTTTGAATGTTTGTTGCTATTAGTGCAGCTTCGAGGCTATTCACATTTGAGTAACTATTCGTCATCAGGTGACTACTCTGTTACATATATTTTCAGCAAATTTCCTGCTTGCTTTTTCTCTAAACGTTTCGCAAATGATCCAATAACCCCAAAACTTTAGCTCCTATTGTTAATTTAAAGCAACGTTAAAGAATCCATGATCAAAATGAAATCCTTAAGTTGTATGGAGATGGATTTAATGAATTGATTATGATCACTTCATTAAATGAAAAGCATCAAGGTGACCTGATCATTATCTTCAAAGTAGGCATCAGAGATTTGAGTTTTGACACTGTCTTATATATGAGAACGGAAACTTTATTATTTATTTATTTATTTATTTATTTGAACACATAAATATTGGTACAAGAGAGCGCCAATATATATGCGCCACACAAAACAATGGGAATTCGAAGAGAAGTAGAAAGAAAAAAAAAAAAAACTAAGGAACGCAAAAGAAAAAGAGAGTAATGACGAAGAGGTACAATCAGAAGAAATCTTTCACGTAAATGAGACACAACCACTTTTTATGAAGAAAGTAAAAGAAGGTTACAGCAGGATCGCCACTGGCTTCTATTCTGAGCCATATCTGATAACGTCTCTAGCCACTGTGTTGCACCATCTCTCGGACCCCAACCAGGGAGTCGTGAAGGACCAACACAAGCCAGTCCTTTGCAGCTTTCTTTCATGCCACGACACCATGTCATGCACTGACCACCTCTCCGCTTCTTCCAACCAGTCCCAGAGTCGGCAAATAATGCACGACGTGGAATTCTGTGGGACGACATTCGGAGAACATGTCCAAGCCACCGAAGTCGGTGTTTCAAGATGGTGACACCAATTGAGTTATCATCTCTGTGCCCGAACACACGATGCCGAACCTCTGCATTACTGACATGGTGTTGCCACTGAATGTCAGCAATCCTTCGGAGACAGCGATGATCGAACACAGAGAGTCGTCTAACGTCCTCAACTCGGAGAGGCCAGGTTTCACAAGCATAGAGCAAAACTGCTCTCACCGACGCGTTGTAGATCCGGCCTTTTACAGCCAGACTAACATCACGAAGGCGCCATAGATGGCCCAGATTGGCATAAGCCGCTCTGGCTTTCACTATTCGTGCATTGATCTCATCACTCACACCCCCACCAGCACTTATGCAGCTACCCAGATACACGAACTTCTCAACTACGTCTATCTGCTCACCGTCCAGGGTGAGTACAGGATTAGAATCCTGCCAGTCTTGTAGAAGTACTTTGCACTTCGAAGGTGCAAAGCACATACCATACCTACGGACATTGATTGCCAACTGATTAAGTGCGGATTGCATGCCTTGGGCATTATCGCACAGTAAGACAATATCGTCCGCATACTCAAGGTCGAGAAGTCTTTCTCCAGGCAACAGATCCACACCACCATTACTTACATTCATCAGAGCTGTTTCCAGAATGTCATCGATGGCAAAGTTGAAGAGGAATGGTGAGATTGGGCAACCCTGCCTAACCCCACTGCTCGAATGGAACAATGGAGAGAGGTGGTTGTATGCCCTCACTCTGCCTGAGGTGTTTTTATACAGGGCTTTTAGGATGTTAATAAACTTCTCAGGCACACCCTTCTTCAATAGACAATCCCAGAGAACAGTCCTATCCAACGAATCGAAGGCAGCCCTGATGTCAAGAAACACTACGATTGTTGGCCTTTGAAAAGTATGGCGGTGTTCTAACATTTGGCGGAGGGTGAAGATATGATCAATACATCCTCGACCAGAACGAAACCCAGCCTGCTCCTCGCGAGTCAATCTTTCTCGGGTTTTGAACAACCTACGAAGAATGACGGAAGCCAATAGCTTGGACGCAATCGGAAGTAAACTTATCCCCCGATAGTTGTTACAAGAACGACGTGAACCCTTTTTAAAGATAGGGACAACTATCGACTCATTCCATGACGTTGGTACACTCTCTAGATCCCAAACCTTTGTAAACAACGTCGTCAATTCCTTAGTCAAAAAGTCACCACCATCTTTAAAAAGAGCCGGAGGTAAGTCATCTGGGCCAGGTGATTTGTAACGCTTCAAGAGTTGGAGTTCCTTGCGGACTTCCTCCTCATTTGGTGGATCAGTCGTCACCGGCCATGGAGGGCAGGACAGTCTGACCGATGTTGCCGGAGCAGCAGGCCAGTTGAACTGCCCTTCGAAAAATTCTGCCCATCGTCCAAGACGTCGATGGATGTTAGTGATTGGCATCCCATCATCCTCGCAGATTGTTTCACTCACACCAGACTTCTTGCTGCCAGTGGCTCGGATGAGTTGGAAGAGCTTCCGGTAGTTACCAGATGCAGCTGCTGCTTCCAGCTCATTAGCACGCATCGACCACCAGGCTTCTCGGTCCTTACGCAAGCTTTGCCCGATTTCATTACGTAAAAACCTTCGTTTATGTCTATGGAAACTACTTTTGTCGCTTTGAAACTTTATAACCTATCCCTTATAAAAAGCCATGTATATGACGATAAAAAAATTAATGTTCAGGAGTCAGAATTCAATAGTCAAACCCGAGCATTAAAATGGACCCTTATTTGATAGAGAATTACCACTACAACATGAGATGTCAGCTTTTCCCGAAAATTTGTCCAAAATATTCAGTCATCTACTGAACGATACAATTCACTGAAACGAACTCAGGTCTTATGGACTAAAAACGGCCTTACATCTGCTTAAATGTAAAAATATATGTAGGTCACTTTGAAAGTTATCATAGTCTCACGCTTTATTTCTCGAACAAGTTTTGAGTAGCCTCAGTGATTATTTCTGGATCTTTGTTATGTGTTGCAAATTCAGCATTTACGGGATAGTAAACATGAAATATAGGCAGCGAGAATCGTTGAAGCACGCGACATGTAGCTTCACATTGTGTTGAATTGCATTTAGCCCATCATTTATTGCATTTCACTAAGGTCGTATTCCACTTAACCTCATGTATATGGCACTCCAAACTGACCGTGCTCTATGTTTATGTATCGACTTCATGTTTTTTAATTATCTATGCCTTAACATGGCATTGATAAACGCGTTTGCATAACTAGAAAAATGTCTGTGTAAATAATTTTAACCCCACCGACCTACATATTTGCATAACTACTTATTTTTTATTTAAACACAAAAACATGTACACGGAAGAAATAATACATATGCGACACACAATAACAATGAGATTGTAGAAAGATAGAGAATGCAGGGTGAGTATAATAAAAGAGGAGAGGAACAATCAACAGAAATTATTGTGTGGAAGTGAAATAATAATTGTAAGAGAAACAGTCCAGCTAGCAAGAATACGATTAAGAATACTTTCAGTAAAAAAAGTTACGTTCACTTTCATGAACAAAATAAAATAAAGTTACAGAAGGATCGCCACTGGCTTATATTCTGAGCGATTTCTGATAACGTTTTAAGACACTGCGTTGCACTAGGACTTCGACCAGAGAATTGTGAAGGACCAACAGAAGCCAGTCTTGTACATCTTTCTTTCATACCACGACGCTATGCTATGCGCTGATCACCACTCGGCTTTTCACAATCAGTCCTAGTGTCGTCAAATAATGTATGACAAGAAATGGATGATGGATAGAGTATTTTGAGGAGCAGTCCAACTAGTCTGCTGCCATGGCGATATTAATCAGACTGTTCTGCTGTCTGTGGTCAGTGTAACGTTTAAATAGTTGCCGCTTACCGTAAAAAAGGTTCAGGTTATCTCTGTAACAACTATCAGGGGATAAGTCTACTTTAGATCGCGTCCAAACTATTGGCTTCCGTCATACCTCGTAGGTTGCTCAAAACCTGAGAAAGATTGACTCGCGAGGAGCAGACTGGTTTTTGTTCCGGTCGAGGATGTATTGATCATATCTTCACTCTCTGCCAAGTGTTAGAACACCGTCATATTTATCACAGGCCAACAATCGTAGTGTTTCTTGACACCAGGGTTACCTTCGATTCGTTGGACAAGACTGTTCTCTGAGATTGTCTATTGAAGGAGGGTGTGCCTGAGAAGTTTATTAACATCTTAGAGGGCCCCATATACAAACACCTCAGGCAGAGTGAGGGCATACAACCACCTCTCTCCATTGTTCCATTCGAGCAGTGGGGTTAGGCAGGGTTACCCAATCTCACCATTCCTCTTCAACTTTGCCATCGATGACATTCTGGAAACAGCTCTGATGAATGTAAGTAATGGCGGTGTGGATCCGTTGCCTGAAGAAAGACTTCTCGACCTTGAGTATGCGGATGATATTGTCTTACTGTGCGATAATACCCAAGGCATGCAATCCGCAATTAATCAGTTGCCAATTAGTGTCCGTAGATAAGGGATGTGCTTCGCACCTTCGAAGTACAAAGTAATTCTACATGACTGGTAGGACCCTGATCATGTACTCGCGCCTTGGGTAGTGATCAGATAGAAGTGATCGAGAAGTTCGTGTATCTAGGTAGCTGCATAAGTCCTGGTGGTGGCGTGAGTGATGAGACTAATGCACGTATAGTGAAAGCCACAGTAACGTATGCCAATCTGGGCCATCTTTGGCGCCTTCGTGATGTTAATCCGGTTGTAAAAGGTCGGATCTACAACGCGTCGGTGAAACCAGTTCTGCTCTATGTTTGTGAAACCTGGCCTCTCCGAGTTGAGGATGTTAGACGACTCTCTGTGTTTGATCATCTTTGTTTCAGTGGCATCTTCTGTACCCACTAACCCGGTTAATCTACTGGACATTCACATTCCGTCCTCTCAATTTCGCAAACAACGCCATCGAATACAAGAAGACAGTGAGTAGAACTTCCCGGACATTGATTGTATGTGCGAGGATCTGTAGTGACATTTCGAGAGGGAAAGCTGACTCTCACCATCTTTGGCTTCACCGGGGCATTTACATTATTATCACTTCATCAACTGAAATGTTTGCTATCTAAGCACATGACGTAGAGCCAGTGAAATTTTCTGGTAAAAATTTATCATCGTTTGTTTCAAAAGTCAAATAAAGTACTCCTACACCTTTTTTACGACGAAATGCAATGTGATATTAGTATTTTCGTCACCATATGACATTGTATTATCCAGCAATGGAAACATTGATTCTAGGCTGTTTTAGCCATTTACTACGTAATTAATCTAAAACTGTATGCAGCATTCATGACAGTCATCTTTGTTTAGAGTAGAAAATGTATGCCATTTAATTACCTACGCATTTCATGTTCAATTCCGTATCAACTGTGTTAATTCATAAACAGGACTGCGATGGGCAATAATAGTTGCTAAATTTCACGAATGTTGCATTTCTGAATAATGGTACAACTCCTGTTTTTTACTGGCTATTTTCTGCACTTTTCAAATCTCTAAATTCCGAAAACATTTGTTACCACTCAAATAAATAATGAAGTTTGTTTTAATTACAACCCTACTTTTTAAGTTTAGAAATAATCTGAACTAATAAAATTAACCACTGTTTAGTAAACTGTTTTTATTTTTAGTTAACCTGGATTTTATTTTTGTTTAGAAATAACATATTTACATTTATGTGTATTTTGTTCTTTTGTAGGACTTATTTTACATACAACATTATAAGTTTACTTTACTTGCAGTCAAAGAACACAACAATAAATTATGTGGCATAGAGAGATTGAAATGTCATCAACAAAGTCTTAGTAGAATAAATTTCAAAACATGTGGCTGTTTGAAATTATTTCAAAAATATTCGGTCTTTTAAGGAAAGAAGTTAAAGTCTTAGTGATCGGGTTGGATAACAGTGGGAAGTCAACGATATTAAACAAGTTGCAATCAAAGGAAACGCAGAATTCATTAACGATTCCAACTATAGGATATAATGTTGAAAAGATTAGAGTCAGTCAGATGATATTCCTTTGTTTTGATATGTCAGGTAGTGGAGCCTACAGAAATTTATGGGAAAAGTTCTACAAGGAATGTGAGGCGATAATTTATGTAATAGATAGTTCCGATGAACTGAGACTTACTGTTGTAGAAGACGAATTTCAACAACTATTGAAACATCCAGATATTTGCAATAGGCGAATTCCAATCCTCCTTTTTGCTAACAAAATGGATTTATCGAATTCTATTACAGTCAAAGAAATAGTCAAGATTCTTGGTCTGGAACAATTGAGAAACAAATCATGGAGGATCTTTGCTTCGAATGCCATAAACGGTGAAGGATTAAATGACGGTTTGATGTGGTTATTTGGACAACTGAAACAAAGTAATAACTAAAATGTGATAAAGATTCTGATAGAGAAAAGATATAGGTGACCCATCAGGATATGTCATTTGCTTTTCCAACGAAATAGAAGTAAGACCCTTGGAATTTGTGTCAAAACACTTGAAATTTACATTCAAAATATAACAAAATCCAGAACAAATCTAAAGATAGGAAACCAGATGTTTATGCTTTTAATCATTAGTATTTTTATGCTATCTTACCGCATTTATTTCAAATGTTAAAATTTATAAAAATGACTAAAATGTACTGGATAAAAAGGTTTTAAAAACTTTATATGCTATGGCTGTCACTCACTTTTTTTTATGATTAAAAAGTAGCCTTGTTTTCATTCGAATAATTTATGATTCTTATCTTTTGAAACCGAATGCAGCACGTTTTTACGTATAGCTATTCGCTATATTAAATACTTTCATTAAGAATTTCACTAGACCACCATGGAAAACCTGGAAGCATTGGACGGTTGTTTCGTCCTAGTATGGGACTCTTCATTGGGACATTAAATTATGCAAATTAAATGGAGTATTTCTAATCAATTAGTTATTCATAATGATTTCAAACTGTTGTCTAAGTTTACCAATCAAGAATAAAATTAATACTAACTAAATCTAATTGAATCAATTAAGTTATGCATTTTATTATCTTTCCCTCCAAATTTCATGATCAGTTAACTACTCAGTGAATATACAGTTAGTTATGTAGAAAAATAATAAGAAGAATCAAGAAAGTGTTATAACTTGTTGTTTGAATGCTTATTGTCTTGGCTCTTTTAATGCTAATTTTTGTATCTGGTCGTCGCTGATTGTTATGTCGGAAACGCTTATCACTTATACTCGGAACGAGGGACCTTCGCAATTCCCACAACGTGAATGTAAGAACACAAGACTGGTATAAGTGAAGATTTATTAACCCTAAAACACGACGACGACCTTCGTCGAAAAATACACTCATTTATATATTGAGTGTACACCTATTTTAATTAATAATTAGGATAAAATCACATATATGAAAAATACTTAGAGTTATAACAAATCACAGACTGAGTATAGTTCATGTCAATGGAATACAAGAATATCGTATATTATACAGAATAAAATATCATACGAGAAAAGAGAACAAATACTACATTGAGTAATTATTACATTGAATCGAACGGAAGTAATCTTGAACAATAACTCATAATGAGTAAATCAATCGAAAATTGACTTTTCTTTCCATTATATCAGAAAGTTTGGAACTAGACCATTCAATATAAATGTTAAATATTGTTCATTAAACAAGTATTATGTAATTAAAAAAACGGGTGCAACAAACATTAATTAATTGGATTATCAGGATATAAATTAGATAGACTTGGTTGATTGATGTATATTCTTATAGCTTCTGTTATTTGTAAAGATAATAGATGCATAAGTTCAACTGGATTCTACCCATAACTAACTATAAGAACTAAACATATGTTGATATGCTGGTTGATATAGACTAAATGTAAGAGAACAGAGCTTTTTTTCTTCTAGTCAATCAAACGATTAATATTCTGAAATACGATAATGTATTTGCCTGGTTTTACGCTTTTCATTACATTTTTAGTTCATGTTTTTGAGAAATATTTAAGCAACTTATCGTTCAACAAACCTATTATTACTCAATAGAAATAACTTTATAGTTATTCAAGAAACTGTTCCCTTTTTATTTAGTGGTCTCTTACCACATCCAGTGTCTGAAAAAACCTTTTACCAACTTATAGTCTTCATTAAGGTTTTATAAGTTTACATTGTTCATACTGAAAGGCAAACGTCTGTTTACCAATTGAGGAGCGAGTGTATTACATAGTGGTTTGTTCTAAATAACTTTATGGTTAAATATTGAGACAAAAGTAAAATGTGTATATAGGTTTCAGTAATTGAATTGTAGGTGTCTTTGGCAAATTGGTAGTGAATAAACAAATTGTATTGGTATTTCTAAATTAAAATAATTCATTCAGTATATGTAGCTTACTTTATCAACGAAATAAATAAAGAGCTCCGCTTAACTGTAAAGTGAAAAACGTTATTAGACAGAAGTTTCCTTTTCATTAACTTCGTCTTGTGCAGCATAAATGGTCAAATAAAAAATGTGCATGATTACAGTATTTCAGCATAGATATTTCTGAAGCACTGTTGGTTTATAATGGAACTATTGATTAGTATTAGTGCAAACTACTGGATATCTTAACCAGGTTTATCAAACATTTAAAAATCAGGCTAGAAAGAGCAAATAGTGGTGCAAACTAATGTAGCATATGACGTCATTGACTGTTGATATGAGAAGTTTGAGGAATTGAGATCTTTCGCAATTTTTGTTTCCTCCCAAATTCTAATGATTTGAGTATTCCGCATGTTATGATTTCTTTCAGTTACGATCCAGCTCCTCTTATTGCTTAGTATTCTTAGACACTCATTTACTAGACAAGTCCTTAAATCAGAACACGGTCGAACAGGAACGTAAACATATTCCAAATAACACGGTTTGATGGAAGTAGGAATCAGAATGAGGAAAACATCAGTATATTTATAATTTTTACTTAAGAAAATTGTAGAGTCTTTACCAAGTATCCACTAGTGCTGATTGGCTAAGAAATAGCCATGCTTTAATCTAATATATATTCCACTAACACCAAATTTGTTGGCGTTCCTGTAAACAAGGTACATTAGGTGTAACCAACATCCGCTTTAAAAATGTATTTGATGGCGTGTTGCTTCCATAAGGATTGGGAGGAAGACGTTATGAATTCGGTACTTGGGCACTTATTTGATTGGAGTCATAGAATTAACCTACATGATGATTTCAGAATAAATATGTTGTTGTAGAGTTAAACAATAAAGCGAATTATCAAGAAAATTCTCCTGGTACAGCCTTCATTTAATAAAGATTTCGCAAAAATTGAAGTGGTGCTACTTAACAGTTTAAAGTAAATAACTTTCATAGACATCATAATTAGTGGGATGAGTATCAAATATCGTGAGTTAAAATATATTCAACTGATAGCAGTCGGTGGAAGGATTATGAACTCAAAGGTACGCAGTAGGTTTATGTTAGGTGAAGTTTATGGATAACTAGCGTGTATGACCTATAGTTCCTTTTATGCATAGAAAAAAAGGCAGTGATTATCTCACTGGTATAATAAAGTAGCGGATATCAACAGGTATATTGAAAAAAAGGTAATTACTTTCTCTAAAAGGTAGATTTCTAAAGGCACATTACTTAGTCCATAGAGTATTGTCCTGGCAAGTGACTTAAATAAACGATTATGGTTTATGGAATTGCTTGAACACTTTAAATCATAGATAACCATAAGTTTGTTAATTATAAACTGATTGATGAACAGATCTCTTTGGGATACGGTATAAACGAATTTTATTTAGTTAGTATAGAGTATGTTTTATCATTTTAGCAATTTCATCTTGTTTGGGATTACCAACAATACGGCAGTAAATCTACGGTCAGTTAGATAAAACACTTCGTCACGATTTTTTGAAACAATAAGATAATTTTACACATTATACATTATAACACCTTTATTTCTGTACTCTAATTATTATTGTAAATATATTCAAGGCTAATATTTATAACTCATAGAGGTAACCGTTAAATCGAATAACTAGATTGAGTGTATAACGAAATAGTTAACAACATTGAAGCTGAAATTTATATTATAGAGACACGTAAAGAACAGCAGCTCTAGAGGTCAGTAATAAAAATCATACAGTAATGAATATTTGAAAGAAATAATGACATTGATAATAATCATATAGTAACAACTACAATGATAGTGACGATATTTCAGAATAAATGTTCTCTTGAAATTTGCTGGAGAAATGTATGTATATACTGTGGTCCTATTTTTCCCAACATTTTTGTTATAAATTCAAGTGACCAAAAAAAAACAACAACAAAATTCAAAGCAATAAAAGTAATTACAACCTAAAGTAGCACACTTCAAAAATTTGAAACTACCCAATCAAACACAATGTTCATAATTCAATAAACGATTAAGCGGATGAAGAAAAAAGAAGTTATTTAGTAATATTTAATATACACATGTGTTTAAAGCTTGTGCGTGTTAACAATTCTTTCTGAATAGTTTTGCCCTAGTTATTTTAAAAGCGAACATTTTGAATCTATGTGTAAAATAGTTCAAATAGTTTTCCGTTTTAAAAACAACAGCATACGTTTACTGAATTATGTTAATGAGTTGAATAATATAAATATTGATTAATTAGACAGTTAGTAACTAGAAGATATTACATTTGATGATTCGGGGAAGAAAAATGGAAGAAATCTGAATTATGAACTTATCAAAAGAAAAAAGAAATCATCAAAGAGTTGAAGAATAGACATGTGGTTTGTTCATTGTTCGTAGAAAAAGAAAAGCACTGGTATAACGAAACAATTATTAAATGCTAGTTAAACTGTAATTTTATAACCAGGAGTATTCGTGTTAAACATCGGTAACATTTTTTGTTGTTGTTGACTTATTCATCATAGTACTAATACGAAAGACTCTATATGTGTACTAATGTAAATAAATGTAGGACAAGTTGACAGTTATATTGAAATGTTAAATAGATATAAATACAAAGAAAATGAAATTTAGCTAAAATAGACAACAAAGCTCCAAAAGAAAATGTAAAAGTAATAGGGGGAGAGAATTGTAAAAACAATATGATAATCATGAATATCTGTTAGAAAAAAAAAGAAGTAGTAATAAAGAGATGTATAAATAAATCACTAAGTAAATAGAATGTATAACTGACACATTGTTATGAGTTGTTTGATTTATATTTAATGTGAAAATGCAATACGACTGATTGGGAATCGTAACAACACCGGAGTTGTACCACGTACTGGTAGTAAAGTTCGTGAATAACGATAAATCATAGATGAAACACTTGGATATGGTTGACTATATTCGCCTAAAACATAACCTCCAGTTTCAGGATCTTGTGAAATTTTCATATGAAGTACATCACTTTCTCGTCTGTAAAAAAGAAATCGGGTAAAATACACTAGAAAAGTCAGTTTTTGGAAAGAGAATAGTTTGTTAGTTGGTGCGAAGAATTTAGTAAACAAATTAATTGCACTTTAAAAGAAATCCATGTGACTTTTACAGCATGTTATACCCATAAGTAGTCACTAAAAAGTTAAAGAGTGGTCAGGGAGGTCATTGTTTCTCCTTTAGCATTATTTTTCACTCCTTGTACACTGATGTTCATTTATCTATTTTTGGAAGTTAATCGTACTCAATAAACCAAGGTAAATCCCTTGAGGTCAAACAAAAAAGTGATCATAATCTTGGTTTCAAATTATAAATACGATTTCATGTAGACCACTATCTGTTTCTGATCGTGTATGTCAGTGAACACGTAGATCAAAATTACGACAGACTTTATTATTACTAAAATAGTGGT